CCCACTCTTCCCACCTCGAGAGAGAAACTGAGTGTTTGCTGGGCCCATACAGTGCCTTTATGCCAATTAGTAAAAGATGCCCCTTCCTCTGGGCAGATGCAGCCCTTTACCAGGGTGCATGGCTAGATTCAGACCCCATTTGCCCCCTCACTGTGCCCTAGTGCTGGGCACAACCTACCTTTCCCTCCAGGGCAGCCCTGGGAAGCTTGCCTAAATCTCAAGGACAGGCTCATGCTGTCTGGGTGAGCTGCAGCCTTTGATCAGAATTCTCTCTCCTGCACAAGGGAGGGCCATCAGAGTCTCCTGCTCCCCAGACTGCTTGCCTACTTCTCCAGGGCTGCCCCAACTCAGTCTTCCAGTCCCCTGGGTCTTTTGCTGAACCCCCAGCTGCCATCTCACCAGTAGCCCCAGGGCTCTGTCCACCTGGAACTGTGCCCTGCCCTCTGCTCAGTGATCTGCAGATTAGGTTTTGTTCTGGCCTGAGCATCCTTTGCCTTCCTCACATCCTGGGTTGTATCCCACCCAGCTCCTCCTGCTCATTTCTCTCTCTTACTACTCTGGCTCCTAAGGCTTTTATGACTGCCCAGGCCCCTAGCCCTTTACTATAGATCAGGCACTTTTTAGTCCTCTTTCTCTCCTCTTGTTTAGAAGAAAAGCTCTCTGGATGCTTGACAGCTCCACCCACCACCTACCTAGTCATCACGGGGAGCTTTTCTCTTAGCTCGAACGCACACAGGTATGTCAGGACAAGTGCCGGCTTGTCCTGGGAAGAACGCGTTTTCTCCCATTTGCTCATTTCAAAATACCACCAGGCCCCTGTTCGGGCATTATTTCACCCATCTCCTGATCACAGACCCCCGCCACCCCCAGCCACTTCTGGAAAAAGTTTGTAAGGTATTTTCTGACCCCCAAGCCCCTTTAATGCATGATTCTTTTTTGAAAGAGAACAGAGAAGCTGGGGGAAATGCCTTAATCTTTTAATTGTGACTGTGAAGTTCGATGCTTGATCCGCCTCTTCCTCTGCCCATTGGCAAAGTAAACAAGCTGGGCTGCGCAGCAGGCTGTAATTAAGCCGCTTCATCACTAATGACAGGCTCTCTATCTCCATCATCCTATCCAAACAGGAAGGAGAAGCCCATCTCCACCCTGACCCTGGGGAGATGCTGGGGTGGTGGGCCAGGCCTGGGGGTGCCTCTGCCTCAGGTGTTGGGGAGGGCCAGGCCCTTTCCCTGTGCCCCATTATAACTGAGCCTGCTGGGCCCTGGGGAAAGGTTTTAGGAAGGGGACAGGAGAAGGGGAGAAATACTCGGGCAGGGCAGAAGCACCAAGGGGCCTGGATAACCACAGACAATGTGAGAATTCAGAGAAAAAACAGAAAAGTAGGACATCAAGAAAGAAATATAAATTATTTCTTATATAACTTATAAGGAAGTGGGTGCTTTAGGAAAAAGGAGCTAGAAAAGGCTGGGTCAAGGGAGTGGATACGTTGGTACTAAAGGGAGGGTTTAAAAGCATGGAGAGAACTGAAGGTGAACCCCAAGGCTGAAAAAAGGGGTGACCTGAGCCTTCCAGAGTTCCATGGGAGACATTTTCATGCAGCCCCAGCTGGGATGGAAGGAATAGGTGGCCTGCTGGATATAGTGAGCTTCCTCACTGCTGTGGGGTAGGGGACCCTAAGCACCCACCTCAAGGAGACAAATCTGCCATGGAATTAGAGACTTGGACAGGGAAGCTTGGGGGTGCTTGACGCTGGCACCTGAGACTCAGGGTCAGAGCGTGAGCTGCCCCATTTGGAGCTGAGACCACAGCTGAGCCCCCTGGAAAAGTTCTACCACCACCATCCCACTCCTCAACCCCCTGCACAGAAGGAGGCAGGAGACATTGATGCCAGGAGGTCAGATCAGTCCCCATCTCCCCAGTGCCATGGGCCCCACTGAGTCAGCTGTGGGTCGAGGAAGCAGGCTGTGAAATGAGCCGGGATCCAGATCAGAGAGTGGGGGAGAAGGACACATGCCAGGGAGCAAGCAGTCTGGAAGCCAGAACCAGCAAGTGGAGGGACTGGGGCACACCGGTCCCAGCTAGGGTAAAAGGAACGGAGGGGCAGTAAGGAGCAAGGGTGGGGCTGCCTGTCATCATAGGGAGCCAAGGAAAAGGCCCAGGGGAACCCGCAGCCACAGGAGAGAACCTCCTGGAAATGGACGTGGCCGGGAGGGCTGAGGAGAGTGTGACGGGAGTAGGATGGAGCAGGAAGCCAGCCGGCAGGTGCACTTCAGGTGAAACGTGGAGCGAGCATTTGTCCAGGCCTGTCTGTGCACTGGTCACTGTGCTGAGCTCTTTGCACATTTTGACTCATTTCATCCTCACACCAACCCTATGAGGTAAATTATCTTATTTTTCCCACTTTACAAATGAGGAAATAAAAGAGCAGGGAGACCGAGTTGCCCAAGCTGCAGTTATAAGTAGCAAAAGAAACAAACCAACAAAAGGATGCAGATTCACACCTGGCTGACTGCAGAGTGTATGTCCTTACATGCTGGATGACTTCTAGATCCCTTCCAGCCCTGGATCCACCACACCATGGTTCAGACCCTGAGCTGGGAGCAGCTTTAATCTAGAACTTTGTGCTGCATCTGGAGTTCCAGTAAGAAGAATGTGGAATCCCCGAGATCTGGGTCTAAAATGAATAGCTCAGCCCTCCTGGGGATGGTGAATTGGAAGCAAGAAGGAGAGATTTAGGCGAAAAACCTCCTATCAGGGGTCTGCATCTAAGCAGAAATGTGGTGTAGATGACTCACCACGGAAGCAGGAGGACAAAGTGACGGAAGGTGGTTTGCAGGGGAGGAGAAACCCTCCACATCTCTGGTGGTCCTGAAAGCATTTGCCAAACATAAATGTAAGGACTGAGGGATGCTACAGAATGACCATCTTTCGTGCAGTTGTCACCCCGAAGGGGGCAAAAGTGGCAGAGCCCCTGGAAGGGAAACTGGAAGAAGCAGGCAAAGGGCAGCTCAAACCTGAGCAGCTGCCAAAAGGGACTGAAAAAGTCTTTAAGAAGCTGCCTATCTCCAACAATTTATGTTGCTTTCACCTCCTCTAGGAATTCTTCCCAGATTGTCTGTATCAGCTCTGATGCCCTCCTTCCTCTGTAGCCCCCTGGCTGTTCCTCCATGCCTGGACCATCTACTGCATGAGAGAGAAAGAGTTCTCAGAGGGCTCCCCCTTGCAGCTAGGGCAGGGGTTTGCACACGATGCAGGCAGGGCTTGGGAGGGGGGATGCCACTGAGTCATGGGGGCGCTCACTCCCAGAATCTCTGTATCAGCACGACATTGTCAGGCACCTGTTGAGGGAGAGCGGTGTGAAGGCCCCAGTTCTATAGCTAGAGGTGAGGAGGTTCAGGCAGTGGAAGCGTCAGCTGTTTCCTCCCTCCTGTGAGAGGAGAGGTCAGAGAGGAGAGGGAGAGGAGGCAGGAGCTGGGGCCCAGGCAGCACGGAGGCTGGGGCCAGCCTGGGCACGCCAGAGAGTGAAACAGCATCTCCTCCAGCTGGCAGCTCCGCGGGGCGCACAGAACCTGTCTAGATCACCCCACGCCCTCTCCTTTGCAGGAAGAGTCCTCCAGGGCTGCAAGAATGGAAGGTGCAGTATCTGAGGCCGCAGGCAGAGGTCAGTGTGTGCATGAAATAGAGGCATCGAGTTCTGTTTTTTCCCTTGCTTGGAAATAAATAGATGGTGATTGGATGGGAATGTGCTTCAGTGAACAGACCGAGCGTCCTCCGCCCCTCACTCAGCCCATCTCGCTAGGTGTCTGGGCACAGTCCTGATGCTGATCCACAACCCTCGGACATGAGCCAATGCACAGCCAGCAAACACAGGAGGTCCCACAAACACTCATGAATAACAATTATAATAATAACAGTGGACATATATTGGCTGCAGACTGTATTCCAGGCAGTATTTTACTTCCATTATCTCTTTTCATATCCTTGGGTCTCTGCTGAGGTGAGTTCTCTGACAGGTGTCTAAACTGAAAGCATAGACTTCAGAATTGGGCTGGGGTTCAACTCTCAACTCTGCCAGTTATTAACCGTGTGACATTTGGTGAGTTATTTAACCCCTCCAAGCCTCAATAACTTCATGAGTAAAATGAACATTATAATAATAGCACCTTATAGGAATAATACATATCTGGTTGTTGGGAGAATTCATTGAGTTGCCAGACATGAAGTGCTTAGAAGAGCTAGTGCTGAGAACAGTTCCTGGCAGATAGAGAGCACTCAATAAAGGCCAGCTTGTATTAATCCTACTTTACAAGGGCAGGATCTTGCACTAGGCCACAAATGGTAATTAGAAGAGCCAGAATTTGAAGCCAGGTATATGACTCTTCAGCCAGAATGCGAGACATATGGGGACCGTTTTCCTGACAGTCCTGGCTTTGCCTGTTGTCCAAGGATCCAGTTTATCACTTGTCTGTAACAAAAGCATCCCAGTTTGAGCAATAAACGATATAAACTGCATGCACACAAATGCATATAAAACACAAATGTATTGGGCCAGCCCAGTGGCTCACTCGGGAGAGTGTGGTGCTGGTAGTGCCGAGGCCGCGGGTTCGGATCCTAGATAGGGATGGCCGGTGCGCTTGCTGGCTGAGCATGGCGCTGACCACACCGTGCCGAGGGTTGCAATCCCCTTATCGGTCAAAAAAAAAAACACAAATGTATTAATACAAACGTGTTTCATCATTTGCATGCCAAGTCATTAAGACACGTTTGTGTGCATTGAGCTCTTTTTCCCCAGTGAAGGTACGCTGGACTAGCCATGCATTCCTGTGGCAAATGTATATTGAGTGCTGACTGTGACCCCAGAACAAGAGGATGTGAGGGGGTGGAGGGAGGAGACAGACGTGTGAGCAGCTTACATGATACCAAGAAAGTAAGCACCAACTGTAACAGGTTTGGGGACAGTGCTTGGGTATGGGAGCCACCATCCAGACCCTGCTGCTTACCAGTGCTGTGAACCTGAGTAGACCACTGAGCCACTGGGCCTCAGTTTGCTCACCTATAGAATGGGGGGGGTAGGGGGGAAGTTGTTGGGCTGGCAGCTGTAATATCACTTCTCATTTAATGCTTAATGACTTAATGGATTCTACTTGGAGGGACCAGACACTACCTTAATACTGGAGGTGGCATCTCAGCTAGGCCACGAAGGATAAGCCAGCTGATAAATGGGGAATGGAAACCCAAGGTTGAGAAAATCATATTTGCAAAGTCAGGCCTGTTCAGGGAAAGGCTGACGTGTAAGGGTGGGCATGATGTGGGAGGAGACAGGATCCTGGGCACCCTGAATTCCCTTCACATGAGGCTCATACTTGAAAGATAGTCTCGCCCTTTAGGATTTTGCCCAAGTCAGCTGTGCTAACTGACCCCAAGAACAGACATTCACGCAGAAACACACACACACACACCCCTAAAAGAGCACCCTTGAATCTCTCAGCTTCTTACGCCACTTAGTTTTTCTTCCTAGCAGTTAACTCTGCCTGATATCGTCTTATATATTGCTTTGCTAGTTGCTTCCTTCTCTCCCCACTATGCTGTAAGCTCTATGAGATCAGGGTCTGTGCCTGTTTTGTTTATTCTGGTATCCCCAGTGCCTGACCAGTGCCTGGCTCACTAAATATTTCTCAGAGGAGCCACTATTTTATATACACAATAGACACACACATCCATAAGCATATGTATACAGGCCTGCCACTTTAGGGTGAAAAAGAAATTGGCTAAAAGAGGAAAGCAGGGCCATTGTCGGGGAGAAGGACTGGGGAGTGGGTGGCAGGAGAGCAAGGAAGTCAGGGAAAAGGAGGAATGACCACCCCAGCAACAGCAGGCAGAGGGCATGGGACACTGTGGGTACCTTTGAGAACCTGTGTGAGGTGCCCTGCCGAAGCTCTAATGTCTGACAGCCCCGACATGTCTCTCAGGGCCACTGTGTGGAATAGGTACACCATGCACACGAAGAGCTGAGCCTGCCAGCATCAGCAGCAGTAATAAATCTCATTTGTTTCCCAGGATTGTCTGTCACCCACAGCCTACCTGGCTCGGACCAGATGGCAGAGACCCACATGAGGCCGGGGACCCAGAGGGAAGCAAGAGTCAGATCAGGGCAACACAGATGTCAACATCCTGGGCAACAGATCCGACACTGAGAATCAGATGACAATGATCATTTATTGCAGGAGAAGCTGAGAACTGGACACAATCCCAATCAGAGGACAAAGAGAGCCACTGGCACTGAAGGCCCAAGAGAGGCCTGGGGGCAGAGGAGCTCACGGCTGGTACTACAGAACATCCTGCACGTGGATGTCATCTCTGCCTTTGGGGCAGTGACCCAATAAAGGTGACCAAAAAGGAGGTCTCAGGAGAGCCCATGACTGGACTTCCTGCATCAGGGTGTCGCCCCACTGAGGACAATAGGGGGAGGAGATGAGACTAGGATTAGGGTTACAGACAAAGCACTTCTTGACTTGGAGAGGGGACGCGGGGAGGAGGAGAAGGAGGAGACACGTGGGATCTGAAGCCTTCTGTTCAGAGCTGACCGCCTGTCATCTGGAGGCCTTTTTGGCCGCACAGCTGCTGCCCAAGGTTTTGGCTAGGGGATCCTTGAACTCGCTGCCACAGCTGCCTTTGGTCTTGACGTCTCCCGCTGCAGGTTTGTAGCTGTAACTGCTCAAAGCGCCAAAGCCCACACTGAAGCCAGCCCCTCCTGCCCCAGCATTGGTGCTGCTGATGACAGCTGCAGTGGGTGAGAGGAGACCCCAGCCCCAGTCAGCCCTAAGCACTGCGTCACAGCCCTCCCTGGGGCATTCCAAGTCTCTTTCTTAGCTTTCTCCCCATGGGAGCTTCATGTTGACATAGATTTTCTCTGTTGTGTCTTTTAAATTACTAAGAGATTTTGGTCAGCACCAATCGTATATGGCTTCATTTTTATGTACTTAGCTCCATATATCTGACCTTTTCCTATTTGTCTGTGCCAATCTGTCAATATCAGGCTGTAAGCTCTTACCAGGTGGGGCCCTATTAGTGAGGCTCCCCCTGAGTAGGGCCAAATGAGGAAAGACAGGAAGGCCTTCTGATGCTGCTGGTGAAGAAAGACTGTGGGGAGTCCCCCCGCCTCTCAGCAACACAGCTGCTGCCCTGCTCTTTCCAGCTTTCAAACCTGGAGGAAGTCATGTCAGCTGTCTTTTGTCATCATTCAGCACTTTGGGCCCCCCTTATCCCTCTTACTGCAATCCAGGGCCTTGCTTTTGGTCTGGCTTCAATAGAAAAAGAACGTAGCCATTAAGCATCATACTTACAACAAACTGTTGGATTATGCACTGTTGGAATTGTTTGATCTTTCTACAGCTTGTACTTTCGTATTTCATGATATCGTTATTCTCCACCTACTGCCTCCCCTTGGTTACTAAATCCAGCTCCCTCTTTCTGTCTTTAAGTCTCCCCTGAACCTTCTCTGATTCTGATCTCTCTTATGTATCATGGAGTTAGAGGATCTTAGACTTCTGGGAAGGTGGCCAAGGGCAGAACCAAGATCTGCAGGTACTCACAGATGCTCACGGAGTTTGGATATTCACCAGACATCCTGAAGAAGGAGAAGAAAACCAGGTAAATCCTCCATGAGCAACTGCCCCATCTATGCAGGCAGTCACCTCTGTGAACAAGCCTCTCCTCTCAGAACGTGCCCCTCCGACCCCATCCAGCAGACTTCGGGACTTCCCAGCGGGACCTCTCAAGAAATGAAGAACTGATGTGAAACCTGCTGCGAGGAGTCAGCTCTCCACCGAAGAGGCTCCGGGATTACTGTGGGGGGGACGATTATGCCTCCGCTTCCCTCTAGTTATGCCATTGGTCTTAGACAATTAAGAAGAATGAACTCACGGCCACACTGAACCCCTTGAACTTGGATGACTCTTGAGGCCATCTTGCCCCTCCACCGCCCACCTGCAAGAAAGCACTGCAAAGGGCCCGGGGATGCTCTGTCTCAAACGTTGCTGGCTTTACTACTTCCTGTTCCACCACCTCTTTGGGATTTTTACAACTTGGTCGTTCTTGCTGTCTACCTCCGGCCTTCCCTACCACTTGGCAAGCCCATTTGCCGGACGGTTTAACTTCAGTGGGACCTGAACAGAACCAAACTGCTTGTCTTCAGGCTTCCTGCTAACACAGAGAAAAAACTGGCCCAGACAAAAGGTGTCTGGCACCTCACCTGCACTCCTCTCCTTCCAGCAGCTTGCGGTAGGTGGCGATCTCCATGTCAAGGGCCAGCTTCACGCTCATCTAACACAGAGAAAAAACTGGCCCAGACAAAAGGTGTCTGGCACCTCACCTGCACTCCTCTCCCTCCAGCAGCTTGCGGTAGGTGGCGATCTCCATGTCAAGGGCCAGCTTCACGCTCATCAGCTCCTGGTAGTCGCGCAGCATACGGGCCAGCTCCTCCTTGGCCTGGTGCAGGGCGCCCTCCAGCTCGTCCAGTTTGGCCCGGGCATCCTTCAGGGCACAGTCGCCCCGCTGCTCAGCATCGGCAATGGCCGTCTCTAGGTTGGAGCACTGAGGAGCAAATGGATTCAGCACTTCAAGTCAGAGCCCCGTTTTGAGATCCTCCTCAGACAACTTTCCCTCGTGTGGTCCTGACTGACAGTAAATGCTTTGAGGTCCTCCTGGTTTGGCCAACTTTGGACATCACTAGAGGTGAATCTGTCCTTCCCCTGACTCCAGGCACAGTTCACTCCAGCTCATGCCTCAGCACCTGACAGCAGAAAGTCTTCACCTGGGAGAAGGGAGGGGAGGGGCATTGCCAGCATGGGCTACCTGGGCATGAGGTACCTGCCCTCCCCTCCTGCTCTGAAATATGATGTGTGAGATTCTAATGCCAACCCTGAAAAAAGTTTCTGGGTAGCGAGACTTAATTCAGCTCTGCTTGTCTTAGGAGATCCTGTAAATAGTGAAGTAAAAATGGGGGCCAATAAAGTTCCTATTAATAAAATGTCTGTCTAATAAACCTGCCACACTTAGAGTCTGGCTCCCAAAATCACACAGAGAATCATGCTGAAAGGCAACAGGCCTAAAAGACACTTTTGCATAACTAACAGGTTTGGCCAGCTCACAGGTGACTCACTTGAGGGAGCTGTATGGGCTGTGCTTGCCTGCCTGTGGTCGCTGGTGTCGCGCCCACACCGCGCTCAACCAGTGAGCGGACCGGTCTCTATATAGGATCCGAACCCTCGGCAGGAGCACCGCCATGTTCCCGAGCGCTGCACTCTCCCGAGTGCGCCACCGGGCCGGCCCTCAATATATTTAATAAGTATGTCAAAAGTACCAAAGTGATTTAAAGAACCATGAAAACATTATTCTAAATGAACAAAGCCAAGGAAAAGGACCATGTATTGTATGATTCAATTAATGTTGACTAGGCAAACCTATAGAGACATAAAGTAGATTAATTGTCACATAGTTCAGGGGGAGATGAGGATTAGGCCTGACAAGAGAGGACTAATTTCAACAGTATACAAAAGCATTCTAATATAGCCCTATTCATATAAATTGTCATACATGTTACATTTTATACATTATAAGCTCATTATAGCAGTTTTTTTTTGTTTGTTTGTTTGTTTTTTGTTTTTTTTCATGACCGGCAACGGATCGCAACCCTCAGTGTCACGCCCGTACCGGCCCGGGACGGGCAACGGGATCGCAACCGTCGGCTTTGCTCCCTGCACCTCGCTCAGCCAGTGAGTGGGGACCGGTCTGTATGTGGGATCCGAACCCTCGGCGGGAGCGCCGCCGCGCTTCCCAAGTGGCGCACTGTAGCAGTGTGCCACCGGGCCGGCCCTACACAGATCTTGATTAAACAAAAACACCGTAAGTTCTTCTTTAATGCTGGTCTTTCTTGTTCCCACTGCCATGAGCCCACTGCACAGAGGAGTTGTGTGTGTGTGTGTGTGTGTGTGTGTGTGTGTGTGTGTGTGTGCGCGCACGCTCGTGGGCGTGTGCATGCGCGCATGCGCACAGAGCAAGGGGGCGGGGTCGCAGGGCAGGGCACAGAGATGGGGCAACTTGACTTGCCCAGGAAGCTGAGAGCCTTAAGTCCTTGTCCTGGCCTCTGCACACATTGGGAAAATCATGGGTGTGCTTGCTCCAGAGCGACAGGTGTGTCCCTCCCACAGCATAGCACAGCCACAGGAAGGTACGCACGTGCTGAAGAGTGCAGGGCCCGGAGCCCAGTCTAGGGCAGGGGACTGCTCCTTCTCCACCATTCAGGGGATGGCAACAGACTGTCACCTGAATCCAGTTGCTTTCCTCTGTTCTCTTTCACTGATCTCCCTTCCTCTCTGTTTCTTCCCTCCCTCCTTCTCTGGTGCCTACACTGCCGGATTCTCCTTCCTCCAACAAGGAATCATCACGTGAAACCTGCAAACAGCTCCCCTTTACTTACTGCATCAGGTCTAAACCCCACTGCCTGGCTTCGAAGGCTGCCCATGATCCACCCCTCCTGCCCAGTGGCCTCTTCTGCTTCCTGCTACCCCCGGCACTGCAGACCTTCTGCTCCGGGCAGGCAGCACTGCTCCCTGCACAGGTGCCATGCACAGCCTTACCCAAGCCATTGCTCCTGCTGGCCCCTTCACATGGACTTCTTCCCCTCTCCTCTTTGCCTCCTCCCCCCAGGGTAATCCCACTTCCTGCAGAAAGCTGCCCTTGGTCCTCATTCACCTTTAGCCCCTCCAGGTTCCTAAGCACTTACAGAGCATGCTGCAATGTGTAGAAGACTTTGCCCTTCCATGTGTTCTGATCATTCTCTCCTGATGAATTATAAACACTCTAAGGAGGGGACCATGCCTTATCCTTTTTCCATATTCTGTTTTGTTCAGATGGGTGCTCAATAAACCCCATTAGCTGGTTCATTTCATAGAACCCACCTGCTTCTTCACATTCCCTATCTCTGAGCGGATCCTCTGGATCAGCCGGTTGAGCTCCGAGATCTCAGCCTTGGTGAGTTTGAGGTCATCCCCATGCTGGCCTGCCATCACCTGTAGCTCCTGGATCTAAGATTGGGTGACAAGAGAAGGGGAGCACAGGACAGCTGAGAATTCACCTACTTGAGGGTGTTCAGCACAAGGAGAATGACCACGTGCTGTTTTCATTATTCAAGCAGTGTAGGCACCAGTGAAGGAGGGAGGGAGTAGAGAGAGAAGAAAGGACTGAGAAGAAGGAAGGGAAAGGAACACCCTCTCCTTCTGGACAGGAAGGGTCCTGCTCCATGGGATCCCGGGTGAAGTCTGAATTTCCTGTTCTTATTTTGCCAAAGTTGGAAACAAGGAGAAAAGCCAAAGTATGTAGATTACCCACAGAAATTATGTCAAAGTCTTAGGATTATAGCTGGTGTGGCCTCAGCTATCATCCAAGGGACCATGGCAGGGGAAGGGCTAAGCCCCATATATATCCCCAACATATATGCCAAGACTGTGGTTGATCTCCCTGGACCATGCAGGGGCATTTCCACAAGGCCCAATTCCAAGACAAAGAGGTTTCTGCTGAGCCCAGATACACATGCATGCATACATGCACGCATGTGCATGCCTGCACACACACACATATGCACGGGGTCTCGGCACACCTGGCCCCCAGCTCACCTTGCTCTGGTACAGGTCCTCAGCTTCAGCCTTGCTCTTCAGGGCGATCTCCTCGTACTGGGCACGGACCTCATCAATGATGCTGTCCAGGTCCAGGTCCCGGTTGTTGTCCATAGACAGGATGACAGATGTGTCGCTGATGTGGGACTGGATCTGAGCAATCTCCTGGGGGACAGTGGGAGAGGGGAGCCAGTTAGGGGGTCCATGTGGGAACCACTTCTCCTGGTCCTCCCTGGACAGATCCCTCACTGCCCCTTTCTGCCCTTCCTCCATGTTTGAACTCTGCCTCAGCACTACTGCCTGCCAGGCATGAGAATGAACACCTTGGGCTTTCAGCTTCAAATGGTGGGACGCCCCCTCCACCACATACTCAGGACCGCTACTACCCCTCTACATTCCCTTCCACAAAAACCCACAGTGGCACCCTCCACCCGCAGAACCAAGTCCGAGCTCTTCGCATGGCACGCAGAAGCCCTAGGGAGTCCTGGCCACCTTCCCCTTCTCCAGGCCTCGGCACCCCTCCTCGAAGGGCAGAAGGAAGCCTCACAAGGCACACTCCTCATGCTTCAGCACAGTGCATGATTCTGGTCTTCCCTTTTCCTGCTCCTGCAGGCTGGAACGCCACACCCTCCTCAGCACCACTGAAACCCTTCCTCTTCCTCCTCATCCTCCAGGAACCATCCCTGATGGCCCAGGCAGAAGTCACCACTCCTTCCTCTGCTCTCCTGAAACTCATCTGCATGTCGTTTTTCCTGCCAGGCTGTGAGCTCCTGGAGGACAGGAATCTTCTTCTCCACTGTGGTCCCCTCGAAGCCTAGTTCACTGCTCAGCACCCAGCAGAGCCTCAGTGATGGTCAGCTGCACGAAGTTGAAAGGCTTCTCCCTCCCAACCCTTGGTGACACAACCACCCGGCCCAAGGCCAGAGCCACTTGTAAGAGGAGCAGACCACAGAGAGGTCAGCCGAATCCTTACCCCTTCATAGAGGCACTTGAAGAATTTAATCTCGTCCGTCAAGGAGTCCACCTTGGCCTGCAGCTCAACCTTGTTCATGTAGGCGGCATCCACGTCCTGGGTAACACATGACCCTCAGGCTGCCATGAGTTGGGCCAGCTGCTTTCCCTTCTCCTCCCTCCCTGCCACAGGGAGCCTTGGCTCCCTAGCTCTCTCTCCTTCCCTCACTCCATGCTGTATGGGGGAGGCCTGAACCCTGAGAGCAAACCAACTAATGCGCAGTGTGATGGCTGCACCAGAAGTACAGCAAAGTGCCCGCATTCTAAGCTGGCAGATTCTGGGAGCATCACACATCGCAGGCAAGGGACCTGCAGGGCGACCTGGGAAGTTAGAATCACCCCTGCCTAAGGGACAGAGTGACCCACAGGTCCCTTTCCTCATCTTACAAACATCACTGTGCCAGGTGGTCAGGAAGCCCTCTAGGTTTCTTCCAGCCCTTCCTGCACCCTCCTACCTTCTTGAGCACCACGAACTCATTCTCAGCAGCTGTGCGTCTATTAATCTCCACCTCATACCTGCATGGGGTGAGAGAGAGTAGGCAGTGTTGCCGCTGGGATCATTCAGTTCTGCAAATGCTCACTGAGTAGTTAGTGGTCACCTCTGTGCCAAGAGCTGCAGGGCAGTGGTCTTCAAAGGGGCACATACAGCCTTCTTAAGGGAATATGGGCAAAGATAGGTTTAAAAGAATTGATGTCCAACTCCTCAGTTCGTAAGCAGTCCGCCTGAAAATTTACCTGCCTGAGAAAGCACCTGTGGTTGAGACATCATGCAGATTCTACTGTCTCACCTCCCTGTCACAGTTAGCCCCTCTGCCATGCGGCACTTTAATACAGTGCATTGGCCCAGGGTGCAAAAACCTCCCAGCACCTAATGAAAGCATTCTTCTTCCCTTTGAACTGATGTTATTCCTGTTTCTTATACATGTTTCTGTTCCAGGTGAAGCCAGGTTTTAGAAACAGTGTTTGGATGGGTCTGGGATGTTCTTAACACAGATATATTGAAGAATGAGGAGGTAAGAGTATTGATCATTTTATTTAAAGATCTTACCTTTTCCATCCCTTACTATTGTCAAAGAATGTAGTACAGGACATTTGTGAGAGCAAATGAAATAGAGCATTGGTAAGAAATAATCAGTGCTAAATGGATAAGCCAAATGTGGTATATACAAACAATGGAATATTATGCAGTCTTAAAAAGAAAGGAAATTCTGCAATATAACACAATACGGATGAACCTCGAGGACATTATGCTAAGTGAAATAAGCCACTCAAAAAAGATAAATATTTTATGATTCCACTTAAGTGAGGTCCCATAGAGTACTCAAAATCACAGAGACAGAAAGTAGAATAGAGGTTGCCAGGGTCTGGGGATGGGGAAATAGGAAGTTATTGTTTAATAGGTAGAGAGTTTCAGTTTTTCAAGACGAAAAGAATTATGGAGGGGTATGGAGGGGACGGTGGTGATGGTTGCACAACATTGTAAATATATTCAATACCAGTGAACTCTACACTTAAAATGGTTAAGATGATAAATTTTATGTTATGTGTATTTTACCACAATAAAAAAATAGAAAAGAAAGAAATAATTAATGCTATAAAATAGCTTTTTTTCCTCATATACTTAAACAAAGAATTATGGAGGGGTATGGAGGGGACGGTGGTGATGGTTGCACAACATTGTAAATATATTTAATACCAGTGAACTCTACACTTAAAATGGTTAAGATGATAAATTTTATGTTATGTGTATTTTACCACAATAAAAAAAATAGAAAAGAAAGAAATAATTAATGCTATAAAATAGCTTTTTTTCCTCATATACTTAAACATAAGCAATTCTTTTCAGCTCTTTACTCATTCCTAAGGCATGTCGCTGGCAGCCCTCGTGCCCCCCAAAAGCATTGTTGGATGGCTGAAGTAGAAACAGTGCAGACTAGTGAAGTGGGTTATTTAAAATATGACTGGAAAGTTTTCTGAGGCTGCCAGATTTTTCTAATTACACTGGATAAAGCACACAGAAAACAATTTATATGATTTATCTCAGATTCCGTGTGTTATTCAAAAAGTAGTAATAAAGTAATTCAAGAGTAACATTTTTATCAAATCATATCACAAAATAGTTATTTCTATTGCAGTTAATCTATATCTCTCATAGTATCTCATAAAA